CATTTGAAATATATGAGTTTGTATGTAATGTATGAATATAATATACAAGTTTCACTTTTTAAATGGAATTACTGAAATAAATCTACTTTTTCATGATATTCTAATTTTATGACCAGCACCTGTAGATGTGCCCTGCCTTGCTGAGACAAAAGCTCAGAAGTGGGAGGAGCCCAGTAAGGCCTTGGATATAGACTCATGATTGGCTCTGAGATGGTTCTGGCTAACCAGTTTGATTGTTCATGAAATAAATATAGCCTTTAAAAATATATGAAATTGCAAAAGAACTAAATACTGTGTGAATAAAAAAAGTTCAGTTTCTATAAAATACTTTGCTGGTGTTTCTTTCAGAGTTTGAAGCCATCTACTCATCTTTTTACTCAACTGAGTAAAGTTCTTAAACTCAGTAAGGTCCAAGAGGTAAGCCAATTTTGTGTGTGCTTTCTATGTTTGCACAAAAGCTCATGAGACAGTGGATGAAATGCACAATAATCATCAGAACACATACAACTGGTTAACTTTTAAAATGAACCCAATTCAAGATGGACACCAAAGCTAATTGACCTTAGCAATATAAAAATATCTGTCAGTTTTCAGTTGATGTGGTTATAACTGAGTCATAACACATACTGAGTGCTGACAGATTTTGTATTTGTTTGTGTGTCATTTTATCTAAAACTTTTTATATGCAGCATTTCCTCAGACTTCCTGTTTTGTTGTTGTTTACAATAAAGCTTTTGTTAAAAAAGACACCCAACAGTCAGATACAGTGCTTTTTAACTTTATTATAAACACAAGAACGTGCAGTTTGTTGAACACAGAGCACTTGTGAGCTGTGGCAGGACGTATTTGTAAATTTGAGCCTCTCTAGAATGTAATTTGGGTGTGTACGATAATTTTCCTCAATTTGAGCTGCTGATAGGATAATTCAGCATTTCCCATCTGGCAACACTGACATGCAGGGTAGCTGGACTCTCCCTTAGAGATGAGAGAGGGTGAGAAGTTCAGTCATTCAGAAGAGTCTCTGAGCAGGGCCGCTGCTCCTCCACATCGAGAGGAGCCAGTTGAGGTGGTTTGGGTATCTGGTTAGGATGCCTCCCTAAAGAGGTGCTTTAGGCATGTCCAACTGGGAGGAGACCCTGAGGAAGACCCAGGACACGCTGGAGAGACTATGTTGTCCTTTACAACCTTCCCAGTTTGTATTTTACTGGGGGAGAAGTGTGCAAACCCTGAAAGATGATTTGACAGGAGGCAGATGTTTTCATCTCAAATGATTAATTGTCCACTTGTATTTTCCAGGTGATATTTGGCCTTGCTTTACTTAACTCCAGCAACACTGACCTTCGTGGTTTTGGTATGTGTTTTTGTAGATCCTGACACTGGAAAATTTACCTGTGTTCATCAAAACAAACCATAAAAAATTCTGTTTCTATTTTTGTAATTCATTTCAGATGTCTTTTTAAAGGGATCCCCGATTAGTTGTAACATTAGACTTTATGTCATAAACATATACTTTAACTGTAAAATAAAGACTGTAAAAATACTGTAGGATGTTTAGTTTTTATAATTTTTAAACTGAAAATTTAAAAATATACTGTATTACATGGACGGAGCCATTTTATTTACACGCAAAGCATTCTGGGTAAATGATGACGTGG